ACAAGGCAGCAATACTTACTCCTCTACAAGGGCCCCTACCATAGATCTACTATAAACAAATGCAATAAACCTGCTGCTGTTGCTGAGTGTCTAAGCCATGAGTTTGCCCACCTTTCTCCTGAGTAGGTGCTGGCAGATTTGAGGCACCAGAGAAACATGGCCTTGGGGTTAGGAGCTCCACTGTGTACAGACTATGCAACTATCACTCCCAATTTACGGAAAGGTTTCTGGAAATCTTACTTCCTTTTTCAAAAGGGGGCTTAATCTCTGGATGGCACAAACAGTCAGGACTATTAATATAAAGTTGGAAGTCCAAATTAGTCTAGATGCACCTCAGAGGACAGGTCACAGCCTTGAAAATATTAAAGCAATTCCGATCTGCATTTGGAGGACCACCATCAGCTGACACTAACCCCACAGGACTGAAGGAGCCATAGAATAGCCTTCCTCTGTTCATAGTTGCTGGGTCATAGTCGACTTGACGGCACCTAACACCACATTGGTTGTATTACCCTTAAGGTTTCTCTGGCTGTACCAGGGCAGCTCTGGTAGCTTGTCAACCCCCAGGCAGGTAGTGGGGAAAGACGGCCAGTCTCCCCAGACAACTTACAGCTCTTAAACCCTGCTCAAGGATCAGGATTACAACTCGCTGGCTCCTAACAAGTTATTTCAGTAGTGGGTGACCAGTCGTGCATTTCACAGTATTTTATAGTCAGAAGCTCTGTTCTCCAGGGCTAACTCTGCCGGTATCTGAACTACTGGTGGCCAGGCTTCCGACATCACAGACGCAAGTTACCTGAGTAAGACAAACTGACAGAACTGCTATTTTATCCTGTTGTATTACAGTAAATCCAAATCAGAACCTACATGACAGCACCATACAATTACCCTGGCAGCATGGCTGGAGAACACAGGGCCTGGAGTGAGTGAGTAGCCACTACGGAGGAACAAACACCAGGATCCAGAGTAAGTATACAGCAATGGAACTGCTGTCCAGGCAGGAAAGACCAGAGTTGGAAGTGTACCCGGTATTTGAATCGCAGCTCTGCCATTAACTTCAGAGGGACTCAAAGTCTGATACAGTAGGTGCTTCTAAGAGACCGTTTCTAAAGTAAGTGTTAACAGGCCACTTGGGAGACTTTTTGGGGTTTTTGTGACAAGCTTGAAAATGTAGTCAGGAACTAGCTAGCTGCAATGTGTCCGATTTGAGCTGTGTGTGTCCTGCATGCCCCGTCCCAGCCTCAGCAACACCAGAGACTGGCGAGGTGTCTGAGATGCAGTGAGAGATACTGGGTGCTTCCACACACAGCAGACAGACACAGATGACATGGACACAGGGGCAGCACTGACTCACACGAGAACATGGAAACTGGAGAGCTTTATTGGTTACATACTGTGTTGCAGAGTCAACAGAGGCATGAGCGCCGGTGGATACATGCAGGCAGGCAGCTTCAATTCTATACATGCACCCAAGGAGCCCTGAGTCACCGCTCATGGCTTTGACCTGGCTTCCAGGGATGGAGTCCAGCCTCCTCAGTCCCGTGCTTGAAGCAGGATGGAGAAGCTGCTGCGCCTGGACTCCAAGGGGGCAGGAGAGACCAGAGTACCTGCCTGAGCAAGGAGGTGTGGACAGACAAGACTGGTGCCCCACCAAGGGGCCAGTAATGCAATAACAATTTGAGGGCTACCTCCCTAACCCTCCCAATCTTTAAAATACAAAAAAATAGACTTTATTCTCTTAAAAATACATTCCATTCAGTACATGTTCTGAGCTGTGAAGCAGCAGGAAAATAAGGGCCCCTTTCCTATGCTCTTGGTTGTGAGGCTTGTGAAGAACCCCCGTTCCCCACCTGGGGTCTTCAAAGGATAATTCCTAAAAGCAGCTCTTCCAAAGCAGTCTCGCTGGGGTAACAAAAAACCCACCCCAACAAAGGCAGCTGGGAACCCAGCCTCTGGGTCCCTATTCCTTTACTGGGAGGTGGTAGCACTTGGCACTGATGCATTAAATATAAAGAACAAAAACTGCCCCAGGACGACATGCCCTAGACCAGTACTGACCCCCACCCACCCCTACAGAATGGGGGGATTTATGTGCAAGCTTGCCTGCAGCCAACATTAGGGCTCTTGTCCCACTGCAAAACCTTCAGCCACCCAGCAGCGGTGTCACTTCCACCAAGACAGAAGCAGCTGCAGCGCCTCCGTCTACTGCCTGTCGCTGGCCCTGGCTGCCTTCTGTACCAGAGCGAAGAAACAGGCAGCAGGTGGGTGAGACCATCTCCCGCATGTAGCCAACTCGACTTCCAACTCAGAAGCAAAGACAACAGGTTCCCCACCCTCATAGGAACCGCCCCACCAACACACACCTGTCAAGAGTTAGCCAGGCTGCAAAGGAGACTTCTCAAAGTGGGTTTGTTGGCTGGAACCATGGACATATTTGGCTTGATTAGACAACTAAATGCTCATCTACCAGGTCTCTCTCCTCTTTCTAGAGGTTTCTTTCAGGGCCCCTGATGGTGAGACCTGGGTCCAAACAATCACACTGTGGTTGCTTGTTAGAAATGTGCTTTCTAACTTTGGAATTTGAGAGCCAGCCTTGCCAGCCAGCCATCTGAAGCCCAGAGGAAGAGCCTCAAGCCTTCACTTGCAGTTACAAATGGCATTTTCCACAATGCTGAGAACACTTAAAAATAAAATCTATTTTATAGCGGTTCTACAAAGTGTGCAGATTAAGGAAACAATTACTTATCCTGAAGTAACTGTTACAATCAAACCTTATTGCACTCAGATTTCAAGATGGCAGCCCCAGCAGGAGGGGACCACAGCTGTCCCTTGTCTACAGAGCACTGTGAAGAGCAGCAGACATCATGCTACTGAAACATGGAAAGATCCAGACTTTGGTACCAGGAGCTACAGCACCAGAATCCAAGGCTCCAGGGCCCAAAGATGGGAACTACTGGTGTGATATTTGGGGGCATGGCTTGGTGCCCTTCCATCTCCACCGCCAGAGAAGGTCACAGGCTTATTTCCTGTGCTCTCAGTTGACCACCACAGAAGTCAGTTTCCACTGGACCCTCAGGGTTGCCAACTAGTGAAGGAGAATGGCAAGGAGGCTGCAACCCTAAGCCTGCTGGTTTCTGGCCAGTGGCCCGGGCCACAATCACCAGGGAAAGATCCTGAAAACATCTTAAGTCACACATTTGAGGCGGGGATGTGGTGGAATGGCAAGCAACGTGACAATGCCCTAGACTGGCAAATCTTAAGAAAACAGAAGAGTGAGCACAACATTCCTGTCCCCGAAAGGAAGGCAAGCCTCATGCTTCTCCAGGGTGGCAGAAACCAGTACAGCTAGAGGCTGGACACTGACTGAAGGCTGAGATGACTCACAAGGGGGCTTGCCAGGGGATTCAGAGGGAGGCACAGGAGCAAGACAGAGTTGTGCTGTGGAAAGCATCCTGGCCTAAGGGCCAAGAGAGTGTGGCCCTGGGCAGGGTTAGAGTTCCAGCAGGCCTCAAAGGCTGCCCGGGCAACCTCATTTCCCAGATTGACAGGTTGAGGGCGCTTCTCTCCTAGGAGTTTAAAACATAGAACAGATGGAAAGAATAACCCCAGAGAAACATCAGAAAGGGGGGCAGAGATACCTTCCAAAAATGAGAATCCCACCACATGGGATAGAATGCCCTCAGATATCATCTCAAAGACTTGTCCAAGGTCCTACAGAAAGAAGACAGCAAATCCACAAAGAAAACTCAGGTTTCCTGACTCCTTATCTATTGCTTTTTTTCTTCCACGATGAAGCAGCAGTGCCTGCTTCTCAAAGGCAGCCTTTGAAGGGGAGAATGCTGTAGGGAAGGAGCCAAGAATACATAGGCCTTCTTAACTTCCACATGTGAATGATAAAATCAACAAGGTTGCACTTTATTCATGTGGCTTCTGGAAAGGTCCACTGCACATGGCACTGTGTCGGTTTGGGGTCCTTAGTGGGAATGGATCCCTATCCTCCAATGCAATCATTATCCTGAGCGCTGATGTGCAGAATCTGCGGCCCGCTTCTATAGGAATGCATCACGGTAAAGTGCGATACCTCCTCGGGGGGCATGAGGGAGAAGGAGATGGAGGGGGGACCCTCACCATCCACCCATCTCCTCCTTGCAGAGGAACTAAAGGGAAATTGCTTCTTCCTGCTGGAAGCTTCCTAGGAGGCCGAGTGCTGAGTGATGCCAAGCTTAGTCTGAAGATATTCCAAGGTGGAAATGTGGACTTGGCTTAAAGTCTCCAGGCACAGGAGAGAAAGCAGCATTATCAGTGCTCAGGGAAGGAAATGCATGGGGCGTATGAATGTCTGGGTGCTCTGGAAGGTTAAGCAGAGGGCTGGAGGGAGGGATGTCATTCCAATGAGAATCCTCATGGGGGCTGGGCCAGAGCAGCTTCACTCTAATGGGTTTTCCCAGGACCCCTTTAGAGGCAGCAAAGACCTCTCTACTTTGAGAGTCTAAAGGAAAGACCTCCAAGGTAGAAAGCTTTAGATGGACCTGATGGCTGGTACATAGTGGACATTGTGCCCTTACGGCAATCAAGGCATGCTGTGTGGAGACTGAGAAAGGGGGCACTAACCATACAGGGAAGGGCTGCCCTATGATACAGAAACCAGTCAGGGAGTGGAGCAGAGTTTTGGCTGCTGCTGTGTGCTGGAGATTCACCATGTCCATGTTCTCCACCTGGGGATGAGAGTGGTCCTTACTTCTGGAGGGAGTAGGTTGGGGAGGGAGGACTCATGCATCAGGGAAAGGCTGGCCTGGCTGGCTCTGTCCAGTTGGAGTCTCTGATCCTCTCTGGCCAACTAGCAGAATGGTCTGTGCCACAGCCTGGCTCTCTGCCGCAGTCTCCCAGCCAAGGCCACGCGTCCCCGCCTGGTTAACTGGCCCTGTATCCTTCGTGTGAAGGAAGGTGGAAGAGGTGAGAAGCAGGAGCAGAGGGGAGACAGTAGACTTCACCCAGCCGACTCAGTTTTCCTCAGCACAGGGCCTGGGTGGCCGTAACCGGTCCTCGGCCCATACCCACCCAGGATCTGGCAGCCCCTGCTTCACAGGCAATTCAGGCTGGTCCAGGGAGTTGTGCGGTCGCCTGTAGACACCAAGTGTGCAGTCTTCACTGTCCTCCTGTGCCAATAAATGACAACAGTGAGCTGTGGAGGGGAGCCTGGTGAGGAATAAGACACTCCTGCCCTTCACCCCAACTGTCTACCTCCCAGACCACAGTACAGCTATAAAGAGAAACTGCCAAAGTGTGGTCTCAACACAGGCCAGTAAAGGGTTCTTGGAAATGAGAGAAGACAAGGAGGCTCACACTGAGCAGGAGCCTCTAGGAACGGGCCTGGGGTGGGAACAGGGTGTTGCTCTCTCTTCCTTGACTTCTACAGGCAGCATGCTTCTGAAAGGTGAGAGACGCTCTCACAGGCAGGGAGATGGGCTGAAAGGGGTGCTGGTCAGTTGATGCTTTAACAGGCCAGATAGCTTTCCAGCCTAAAGATCATAAAGCAGGCCCAATGTCAACCCTCTCTCATCCCCTGTGACAGCAGCCTGCAAAGACCTGCTGTCTAAACTGGGGCAGCCAAGAACCTGTCCATCTGGTTCTCATCTCGGCTTCACAGAAAGGGTGCTGCCTCGCTCAAAGCTGCCCTCCACTGTAGCTGGCGCTTACACTTCCTTTCTAGAACCGCTTCATGGGACAAGGGGAGCCCCTTTGGCTACAGTGGCAACCCCAGAGAACAGAGGCTGTGATTATTCTTCATGAGAATTCACAGAGAGCATTATAGACGGGAGAAAAATGGAAGGTCCTATTTCTCTCTGACAAATACTTTCCTCAAGTCAGGCCAGGCCCACCAGATTTTCAAGAGTTCTCTGAGCGACCCATGTCCTCCAGTTCTACAGTTCCCTTATCATGGGTCCCAGGGATCCGAATAAAAGAAGAAGAAAAGGGGAAATGGAAGGAAGGACAAGAGAAGGGGGTGAGGCGGAAGAAGGGGACTCACCAGGCCCGCTGAGTGGTTCCAGGCTGCTGCAGGGACGCCGACTCCTGCACGGCTGCGCCGGGTGAGCACCTCGGATACAGTGAGGCTACTCTGTGTCCTTCTAGAGGGCTCAGGGCCATCACCTGCATTCCCCACCTTGCGAGTGCTCTGTTCAAGAAGGTACGACCGGGGCTGTTCAAGTTCTGAGAAGTCTGTGGAAGACCTCTGAATGTAGGCATTGGCTGAATCCACATTTTTACCTCTTTGAGTTGGGGAGTCATCTAAGGAATTCAAGTCTCGCCTACTCTTCCAGGCATTCCGCACAGTGACGTGCCGGGCATCTGCGGAGCCCACTTCTGAGGAGTTATTATGGCTTTTCCACCTGATTGTCTCAGCAGGAGGTGTGTGGCTGTTGCGCTCCACAGAATCTGATGCCTTGATGATGATGCTGCTCCGAGACACCACTGTTTCTGGCCTGTTCTTCAGGGGCCCGTCTCCCGTTCTTTCACTCTCTGAGAGCTGCAGGGTGATGTCGTGTTTGTGAATGGAGAGCTCAAAGGGGGAGCTGACATAGTTGCTAACCGATGTGAGCTCTAGTGGCCCAACCTGGATATTGCTGGTGGATGTGTGCCTCTCCTTTGAGGCCTCCGCAGGGGTGGCTCTTGGGTTGCTACTGTCAGTGGGGTAGATAGTAATACTGCTGGTCACTTTGTTTTGGGATTTGGACATGGACTTCTGTTTCTCTGGCACAGCCTCGGTTCCAGACCCGCCCATGATTTTTTTCACATCCTTATCAATGATGACGGGTTTGATAATGGCTCTGGACCGCAAGGCCTCTCTGGGGCTGAAGGGCCTTTGGCTCTTCGCTCCCACACCATTGGCATCTGGAGGCTCTATGGCAGTGGGGGAGGCTCTGACAGGTTTCACAGATTCACCTTCTGTTCCAACATCTTTGTCATTCTCAAACAGGGAGGTTCTAAGCGCTCCTCGAGATTTCCCTTTTTCTCTAGAGCTGGGCTGCTGTTTGGACTCCGGCTCTGGAGTGATGGTGGTGTTGACCAATTTGGCAGTAACAAGAGATGCCATGTCCAAGTCATCATCTGAGTCTGGTTTCTCTCTGCCACTGGATTTGATCACTCGACACCTCAAGGCTTCATGCTGACTGCTGTCCTCCATCACAACTGCTATAGGATGATCAACTGCTTCTTTATTGGGGGTTGAAAAGCTCTGAAGGATGTTCTCTTGACTTTTGGAGTTAGAGCCGTAAGGGTATTTCGATAAAACAGGAGCCTTGGAGTTTGGAGAATTGGGATCAGTCTCCTGACTGTTGGCTGATTTTTTGCCCTTTGCGAGCCCTTCTGAGGAGGATCTTCGAGATGAGGCTTTGGAGCTTCCAGAGTCTGCAGCCTGTGTTGCTTGGCTTCCACTGGCAGATACCTGCACCCTCTTACCACAGAGGGTCTCAGAGGTGTCAGAAGCCTTGTCACCTCTACCTGCTGTGTCACTGAGAACAGATCCATGGGCAGTGTCATTAAATGCTCTTGTAGTCTTCTCCACTCTTCCCTTCAATGTGCTCTCATTGCCCGGCTTGGAAGTACCTTTCCAAACTTTATTGTGTTCCTGGGCTGCTGGTGGGTAGCGGCTCAACACCGAGGGCTGATCCCTGGACTTCTTCCCTTCATTCTGACAGGAGCCAGATGCAAATCGGTCTTCAGTTCTTTTTGTCTCCTGAGTCCCACTGTCCATACCTACCCCCAAGTTGCAACCTTTGGCTGCCCTCCTGTTGGGGAAACTGGGCGAGGACAGCTGCCTGTGGCTAAGAGAATAGTTTTCATTATTGAGAGCAAAGTCCCTGTTCCGGTGCCGTTCCCGCTTATGTTGCGGTGACAGCTCCCGGGATGTGTGTTTAGACAGTGACACCTCGTTCCCGTGGCCTCGAAATTTAGTCCTTTCGTGCCGGCCTTTGCTGGACAGGAAGGCATCTTCTCCTTCTACCTCCCCATTTTCTAACTCTTTCTGTTTCTTGATTTGTAGCTTTATCTCCTCCAATTGGCTGGCTAAAAGTTTGTTTTTATTTTGTTCACTTAGGTAATTATCTTGAAGGTCATTATTTTTGGCTCTCATTTTCTTAAGCTCTTCTTCCAAAGATTCAAAATGTTTGATCTGTGTTTTAAGTTTCTCTATTTCTTGGTTAAGGTCTTTGACTTTGTTGTCTTCCTGATTTCGGTTCTTTTCATTTTCTGACTTGTTTCTTGCTTCATTCTCTACCTGCTTCAGATAGTCCAGATTGCCCTTCCTTCTTGATTCCTTGGATGACAATGTGGAAGAGATCCCGTCCTCAATCCGCAGGTCATTGGAAGCATTCCGTGTGTAATCGCGGTTCATTTTTTTGTTCTGTTCCAGCTTCTGTGTGAGCTCCTTTATTAATTTCTCATTTTCTTTCTCCTTTTCATTCAAGTATTTTCTCTCGCTCACAAAGCTCAGAGTTAATGATTTCAGTTTTTCTAACTCTGACACTAAATTCTGCTCTGTTTTATCCAGGCGGTCTTCAGAAGATTCTAGTTCTTTCACTTTGACCCTGAGCATTTCCAGCTCTGAGGAGATTTTTTTGGTTAGGTTTCGCTCCTCATTTAGGCTCAGACAAAGCTGAGTGCAGTCATTCTTACTTCTGCTGAAGGCCTCCTCCAGCTTCTCTAGCTCGGCCATTCTTTTCTGAAGCCGTTCAATCTCTAATTTCAGCTCCTGGGTGAGGTTCTCCTCCTCTTCGAGCTTCTCCTTCATCAGCTGGCACAGATCCTCAGCTCTCTTAATTTCTTCATCTTTGCTCTCAATTCTCATCACCCGCTGGCGCAGCACTTCTATCTCTGCCAGCATGCTGGAGTTGCTGCCTTCTGCCTGAATCACTTTGTCCTGGAGATCTACAAGCTCATCTTCTGCTTTCTGGAGGTTTTTGGTGGCTTCCTCCAACTCATCAAGGCGTCGGCTTAGACTCTGCAGCTTAAACCGCAAGTGGCGGCTGGAGGCTGTTTCCTTGTAGCTTGTGCACTCAGCCATGTCTACTGCCAGCCAGTATAGGTCCCAGAGGAATCCAATTCCACTCAACGGTATGGGAATCGGTTACCTTTCTCTTGGCATCCACAACTTTCTTTGGCAGCTGGAGACCATTCTCAGTCTACAGAAGGAAAGTAAAACGTGTGTCAGTCAGCAAATATAAAACCTGCACTTCAGTTCCCATTTGTAATCCCTAGGTCTAGAATATAACACGTGATCAAATTAACTGAAAGAATAACTTTGAATAATCTTGCAAGAAAATACACACCTCATTTCTCAAAGCAGGATATAAGAATAGTGGCCATTTGCTACATGTCTAACCTCAGGAGAGCCATTAACCTTTCCACAAGCCATTAACCAAGTAAATTGAGCCTCACTTCTACTTAGTAGTAAAATGTGGATCATTATGCCTCCTACATCTCTCCCTTGGGGAGCTCTGATGGCGTCCTCTGTAGGGAACTGCGCTGTTAATCCAAAGGCAGCACATCTCTAGCAGTTCAATTCCACAAGCTGCTCCAGGGAAGAAAGATGGGCAGTCTCCTCCCATGTGATTTACAGTCTCAGAAAACGGATCTTAGCTGAAAGCAGGGAATACCAGAGGAATTTCTATCTGTGTTTCGTTGACTATGCAAAATTGTTTGACTGTGTGGATCGTAACAAATTGTGGCTGACTCTCAGAAGAATGGGAATCCCAGAACACTTGATCATGCTAAAGAGAAACCTATACTTGGACCAAGAGGCAGTCATCAGAACAGAG